ACTAGGAGGGTCCCTGGGGCAGGAGCTGGCAGGGCAGGGCCAAGTGGGAGGCAGGTGGTCACCCAGAAGTCTGACAGCCATATCTCCAGGTGGTGGGATTATGGATGACTCTTGTTTTCTTTGTGTTTCTCTGTTTTTTGACTTTTTTTTTTTTTTTTTTGCAGAGCACACTTGTTTCCAATGTAAGCAGAGAAACAACAATCCTGTAGTTGATTTTTATGGGATTTTGCTTTTTGCACTTCTGTATAATTTGAATATTTTATAAGTAGGTTGTATTTGTTTTATAATCAAAAACAAAAGGCAGGCAAGTAGGCAGGAAGAGCATGGCCTGTGGCTAAAGCAGCAGGTCTTAAGAGCCTACGAGGAACTCCTGTTGGGCCACGGTTCAGTCACCAGGACGTGGAAACCGCAGTAAACGTGGGACCAGCAAGTGACTGCACCACATTTTACATGTCATGTTCTTTCCAAATCCGACTTTTGCTGGACACATGGAATGTCTCTAGTTAACACATCAAGTCATCTTAGAACATTTGATAGAAGACTTAACTCCTTAATTCCATGAAGGCACATCGGGATCTCTGATTACTTAATTGAAAAAAGGTACACACTTCAGGCTGCTGCAGGGTTTGGGAATTAATCTTTAAAACCTGACAATGAACATAAAATTCACTTAGGGAGAGCGATTAGCAAAGATTCTTCTCTTCTTCACCCTGGGTAGCTTTGAGAAGTGGCTGACTAGTCTGCATTGATTCGGACGCTATCATTGTGCATATATCAACCAGGAGAGCCAAGTGTGCATTTTTTACTTCAGAGGGGAGTTATCGGACAATTTACAGATTGATAGATTTCCTTAAAGGTATTTCCGTGGCTGATTCAGGAGGCCTCCTGGCCAAGAATTTAAACTTCCTGGTTTGCTGCTTTTGGCCTTGGTGCGAGAGTTCCACTCTCTGCTTTTGTCTTTCTTTGATTACGACCATGATCCATCCTCCTTCCTCCTCTTCCTTCTCCTCCTCCTCCTCCTGTTCCCCCTCCTCCTCCTTTTCCTCCCCCTGCTCCTTCCCCTCCCCCACCTTCCCTCCTCCCTTTTCCTCCCCCTGGGCCCTTCCTTCCGTTTTCTTCTCCTTCCTCCCCATCCCCTTTGCTTTCTTCTCTCCTCTCCCCACCTCCTCTTCCGTCTCCTTTTTCCATCGCTCCTTCTCTCCCTTCTTCTCCTCTCCCTCTTCATTAACATTTTTATTTTAAATTATGAAAATTTTTAAACATACTCAAAAGTCTAGAAAGGAACATAACAGACACCTGTGTACCCACCACTCAGACTGTAGAATCCAGGGCTCTGGCCCCGGTTCTCGTCCCGTCGACCACGCAGCAGCATTTGACACCCCTCTTCTGTTTTCTCTCCCACCTCATTGGCCTCTTCTTCTCAGATTCCTTTTCTAGTTTCTCCATAGCCTCCTCAACCCCTTCCTGTGAGCTCTGGGCCTCCTCTCGGCCCTGTCCTCATTTGTTCCCTCTGAGAGCTCATCCAGTTCGTGACTGAAGCACCATCTCTGGCAATGACTTGCAGAGCTCAGCCTCCACCCTGGACCTCTCTTTTGGACATCACGCTCACGTATCCAATGGCCTGCTCTCTGTGGTTCAAAACCGAGCTCCTGGTCTTACTCCCTCAAACTCGCTCCTCCTCTTGTCTGAGGCACCCCTTTAGCTCCTTTCCTCTTGGTGCTCCAGCCAAAACCTCCAGAGTTGTCCTGGACTTTTCTCTTGCCCTCCTAGCCCACCTCCAACCCAAGGAGATTGTGTTGGTTCTACTTTCCACGTGAGGCCACTTCTCTACTGCCTCCAACTGGTCCAAGCCATCTCCTCTCTCCCCTGGATTCTTGCAGAAGCTCCTCACCATCTCTCTGTGTCTCCCTTGCCCCTCACTCTCCTCCCCACACAGCAGCCCAGGTGGCCCTGCTCCTGCCTGGAAGGTTCTTCCCCCAGTTTCTGTATAGCTCCCTTCCTCACCTCTTCAGGCCTTCTTTCAGCTGCCTTCTCTGAGAGGCCCTTCCGGGTCACCATTTCAGCCCCTTTTCCTGACCTATGGCCCCTTTCCTACTTCCTTTGTAGAATTTCAGTCTTTACCACCACCTAATACACTATATAGATTCTGCTTGTCTTGTTTCGTGTTTGTCTCCCCTACGAGATTGTAAACTCTTCGAAGTCAAGGGATTTTGTCTTATTTGTTTATACTGCTGAGCAATGCCTGGCTAATAGCAGGGACTCAGGAAATGCTGGTTGAATGAATGAATAAATGAATGAGTTTGATAGATGGAAACGTTCGAGCACGTTTGCTTCAGAGCATATTCCCTCTCTCTCTCTGCCCTCTTTAGAGGGGGTACAGCATAGTGTTCCCAGCTGTCTTTTCCCTCTATTCCCAGGAGCAACCACCCTCTCCATTCATGTTTTTCTAGTCTTACTACAAATGGATAAATAAACGTGATAGAGTTTTGCTTCATGTGTATTTTTAAAATTGTGGTGAAATACACATAACATAGAATTTCATTTTAACCATTTTTAAGTATACGGTTCAGTGGCATTAGGTACATTCACATTGTTGTGCAACCATCACCACTATCCGTCTCCAGAACTCTTTTCATCTTGCAAAACCGCTGAAACTCAGCCCCCATTAAATACTAACTCCCCCTTCCCCCATCCCCATAGCCCCTGGCACCCACCATTCTACTTTCTGTCTCTCTGAATTTAATTACTCTTGGTACCTCACGTAAGTGGAGTCATACAGTATCTGTCCTTTTGTATCTGGCTTATTCACTTAGCATAATGTCCTCAAGGTTCATCCATGTTTTAGCATGTGCCAGAATTTCCTTCCTTTTTAAGGCTGAACAATATTCCATTGTATGGATATACCACATTGTGTCTATCCATTCATCTGTCAATGGACACTTGGGTTGCTTCTACCTTTTGACTATTGTGAATAATGCTGTGATGAACGTTGGTGTACAAATATCTCTTTGAGACCATGGTCTCAGTTTTCTGGGTGTGTATACACAAGTGGAATTGCTGGATCAAATGGTAACTCTATGTTTAATTTTTTAAATTTTTTGCCATGCTGTTTTCCATAGTGGCCGCACCATTTTGCATTCCCACCAACAGCGCAGAAGGGTTCCAATTTCTCCCACTTCCCCTCCAACACTTGTTCTTTTCTTTTCTTTTTTTGATAGAAACCATCCTAATGGGTGTGAGGTGGTGTTTTGTGTGTTTCTAAAACTTAGATGGCATCGTACTGCATATATACAGCTTGTCTTATGTACTCAATATTATTTTTTTACTGTAGCTGTGTTAACCCTGTAGATCTAGTTCATTAACTTTATTTTTTCTATTAAAATCATGCTTGTACATAACTTTGAAAAAACAGAGGTTGCTTGCACTCTGCCCTTCTACCATGAATTCCCACTCCACTTTGAAGTCTTCTGGATGTTTCTTCTGTTATTTCTGCCCATATTTCTAAATGTAAATGTTGCTATTACTTGGTTTTTCAGTTTGAGACCCCAGCTATTGACCCCTAATAAGGAAGAAAGGAACTGAGCTCTCTGCACATTCTTTAAAGGCTACTGTTGACCTCTTGTTTTCTTAAGCTTAGACGTTTACATATGCCCAGAGTGCCTTCAGAACTCTGCTCCTTTGCACTTTGAGAACCTTCAGGACGTGGTAGGATGCATTTTCTCATCTTGAAAGGGAAGGTTATCTCTAGGATCAGGTTTGTGGATGTGTGTGGGTGCACTTTGGGTTTTTCTCTTATTAAGGAGATGAAGCTTGGGTTCCCTGACGTCGTCGAGGAGTCCCTGATGCCTGCTGTTAGGAACCATTCGCATTGCAGGCGTCAAGAAACATGCCCACCAGTGCCACAGCTCCTGCTGTGTGCCAGCCACGGTGCTGCGTGCTCAGTCCTCACTCATTCCTCACCACTGCCCTTCAGACGGGGCTCTTCTCATTCCCACTTTACGAAGGAGGAGACTGAGGCCCAGAGAGGCCAAGCTACTCAGCCGAGTCACATGGCCCCTGAGCAGCAGTGTCACGTGTGAGGCACTTGGCTCTGATGCCCACGCTGGATGCTGGTGCTCTTCCTGCCTCCTGTTCAACCCTCTGAGCCACTCCGGATGGTGGGGTGGGAGCGTCCCCTTCTCCCTATAGTGACAGCGAGGGTGGGAGACCAGCACTGCTGAGTACCGCCGGGTGCCAGGCCCAGGGCCAGCCCTGTCGGCTTGTGTGGTGGTCGTGGAGTTTCCTAGGAGACCTGGTGAAGAGCTGGACCCAGCCCTCTCACCCACGGAGTGGCCACGGCTCTCGGAATGTATGGTTCTATACCGGAGGGCTTACAAACATGTTTCAGAAGTCATTAAGGTACACAGGGCTTTCTGCTGTGAGCCCCATTCCCCATGGAAAGCCAGGGTGGGAATGAGGGCCAGTACCTTCTCTCCCAGACAGAAAGAGAGCTTGCCTTTCAGGCAGGTGTTTGCTCTTGGCTGGTTATAAACACAGGGGTGGAGGCTCTCCTTGGGATCTCGGTTGTGAAGCAGGACCTGTGAAGATAGCCCGGCCTGGTGCAGTGTCCACTGCAGGGCTCAGACAGCCCCGTCTCAGAGGACAGATGTCAGAGATGCAGGTGAGATGGTGCTAGAGCTGTGAGTGGAGCAGGACGTTTTGGTGGTGAGCAGGTGTGGAGCAGGTGTGAAGGGCTGGTGGCGGAGCAGCAACACATGGAATGCTGTTTTCTGTGGGCCCCCTTAACTCCGGAAGAACTGTTGGGAAAAGCCCCCCCTCACCTTGCAGTCCCAAGCTTTTATATTTCTACAAGGAAAAGTTGAACATCTAGATATTGTTTTAATGGTAAATAATGGGAATCCGGTGCCACCACGGGACCCTTTTCCTGGCGCAGAGGGGCTGAGCAGAGCCCCGGAGTCCAGGCCCCCGTTTGTGACATCTGCGCTGTGTTTGCCTTGTAGGTGTGGAACGCCGTGGACTCGGGGAGCTGCTTGCAGACCTACTCCCTGCACAGTGAGGCGGTGCGGGCTGCCCGGTGGTCTCCCTGCGGCCAGCGCATCCTCAGTGGTGGCTTCGACTTCGCCCTGCACCTAACAGACCTCGAAACAGGTATGTTTCTCTATATTGTTACCCCGAGGTGCCCCCTCCTCAGAGCTGGTAACTGAGCCAGCTTCCTCACGGGGGAAGCTTCTCTTGGGTGTCTGCAGCCACAGCTGTGTACGGTTTCAGGGCAGTGGGAGATGGACCTCAGGACAGGCTCAGATTGGTGAGTGTGTTTCTAGGCCGTTTGCCCGGAACCAGGACTCTCCACGGAGGGATCGAGGTGGGCCTCTGCCAGCCTGCCCAGAGGACAGAGCCCCAAGGTTGTCTCAGCTCTAGGCTGTGGGGCTGGATAAAGAGGTGGCTTTTTAGTCAACTTCTGACGTGTAATTTGTACTGAAATGGATTCAGCTTTATCACAGCGTCCTTTGGTTGGAATCAGTTTAGAATTCCTGTCAATTCATTATCGTCGAAAGGCTGTAAGGAATGATTCCAGCTCGTAAGGAAAGTCTGCAAACTAGTTCTGCCTTAATGCCCACACTGAAAAGGCATTTGGGTGAGATGGATCCGTGCTGGTAAATCCTAAGGGGGCTCTTGACAAGCAGGGCGAGAAGGAGAGAGAAGTCGGTGGAAGGAACTTTCCATTACCGAGCGCTCCTGTGCAGCAGGCCCTGTTAGCACTTAATCTGGCCACAGGCCTGAGCGGGGTGCTGTCTGTGGTTCAGGTGAGAACAGAGTCAGGAGCACGGGGCTGGGTTCCCACCTCTGCCCCGACTCCTAGGCCGGCTGCTTTCAGTGCCCACCTACCTTTTCCTCCCTGGGCTCCTCCTGGGTCTCTGTGCTGCTGGGCACCACTGCCACTGCCAGGAGAGGAGGCTGGAGTTCATGCCAGTCCCTGAGGCATCCCTTGAGCCCTCGGGCAGCCCCCGCCTGCCTGGCCCAGCAGTGGTGGTGTGGGGCCTGTGCCCCTCCCAGGGCAACAACTCCGGATCCCCCCGCACAGTTCCTCCCCAGCAGCTCAGAGGAGGCGCGGGGAAGGAATGCAGCGGGTGGTCTGGGGTAACCGTGGGGTTTGTTTTGCACCTCGAGTGTCCTCATCTCCTTCCAGGCCACTGAGGGGCGGCCTTGCAGCTCCTCTGAGTGAGCCCCAAGGCTCTCAGTCGGGGTGGTGATGAGACCCATGGTGTGTCAGCAGCTGGTACTGTGCCACAGGCTCCACTCGTGATATGTCGCTCCTCCCCTGAGGATTCTCCTCATTTTACAGGCGAGGAGACTGAGGCTCAAAGGGCTGAGTGATGTGCTCAGGGCTCCCGCTGGTGCATGGCCGGCAGGGATTTGGAGCCATATCTGTGCAGCTGCAAACCCCGTGCCCTTTCCACACTGCCGAGTGCACGGCGTTCTTCTTCTCAACAAAGCATTTTCCTGATGGTGGTGGTCTTACTGAGAGCCCTGCAGGGCCCATGAGGGAGCCACGGCTCAGGGAGTTGGTGCCACTTGGTGACGGTGACCATTGGGTCAGTGTTGATGGCAGCAGGTACTGCCACCGAGCACCTGCTGTGTGCTAGGCCCTCTTCTGCAGCCTTACATACGGGGTCTCATTTAGGCCCCACTCACCCTTCGAGGCTGGTGCCACTAGAGTCCTCTTTTCACATACTGGCTCAGAGGCACAAACCAGGAAGTGGCAGAGCCAGGACGCACACGGGTCTGCCAGGCTCCAAGGCCTGGGCCTGACTGTTACAGTCCATTGCTCGTGTGTCCAGTAAGCCACGCTGAGTGTCAGAGACACAGAGGTGAACAAGACCCGGATCCACCCTGGAGAAGCTCACATCTGCTGGGGAGACAGAAGTGCAGAGAGAGCCCCAGGTCACAGTGATGGAGCGAGATAGAGGAACTGCGAGGACGGCTAGCCTGGAAGATCCAGGAAGACTTCCTGGAGGAAGTGGAACCCACGCTGAGGCAGGAGTTAGGGGGACAGAGAATTGGGGTAGAGGGGGCGTGGTCGAGGAGGACGGAAGTGAATTCTCAGCAGATGGAACAATGAGGACAGAGTTGTCACAGGAACATGAACCGTGTTATGTGTGTGGAAATGTGGGGTACAGGGACTGCGGGGAGGTGAGTTTGGGGGTGCAGGAACTGGAGCCTGAGCTTCACACAGTTCCCTGCCTGTGGGGGGCGCATTCTCTGGGCACTGCCCCCCCCCACCCCGGGGTCCCTGAGCACTCTGCCCGTGCCTCCCGCCCTCGGAGTAAAGAAGGCTGCTTTCACATGCTGGTGATGCTGTCGGGATAATTCAAGTGCGTTTGATGACGTCAGTGGATTCCTAGTGGCCCTGTGTCATGTCTCTCTTCTCAATCAACAGATGTTAAACAGACACTGCCGTGTGTGTGTGAGTGTGGTAGGGTTCTGAAATTTTCAGATATTCAAACAGAGTCCTCCTGCCTGACAAGTTAGGGACTGCCACAGCAGGTGGCAGTAGGGGGCCGTTGCTGAGTTTGGAGCAGGAGAGAGTCATGGCTGGATTTGCACTCGGCGCAGGTGTCCCTAGTGGCTGCAGCTGGTGGGTGGGACCGAGGCCTGATGGAGAGCTGGAGGAGGAGGGGAGGCATGCCTCACCCAGCTGGTGGTGGAACTGTCGCTGGAGGGAAACGTGTCCGGCCCCAGGCCCAGCGAGCCCCTCCGGCTGTGGTGTGTGGGATGGTACAGGACAGGCATGGCCCTGCCCTCGGGGCTTTGCCATCCGGTCAGGGAGGTGATGGAGGACTTTTCCGTTCCACCACTCTGCTGGGAATGGCACTCACCACTGGTTCACCTGGTGAAGTCCCGGTGTCATTCCTTTAGGAGTTACTTATAGAGCGCCTACTATGTCCAGGTCCTGGTGCTAGGGCCACGGTGGTGAGGTTGTTGGAAGTCCTTTGTCTCTTGGGGGCTAGGGTCGAGGCGTTTGGACCTCACCCTTGGGCAGGCCCTCCAGCCCCTAGACGGGGCCTCTCCTGCTGAGGGGGTTGTTTTGGGGGTGTCTGTCTCCCTGGCTAGTGTGGGAGCTCCTTGAGGATGGGGGCCTGTCCTGGTGGTCATCATGTCTCCGTCATGCTGGCTGGGAGCAGCTGCTCAGTGTGTGTGTGGATGAGACAACACCGGGGCTGGACCTTGCCAGGCAGTAAACCCCATCAGGGGCCACCGGGGTTGAGGTGGGGGGCGCCACTCTTGTCTCTCTCCTCGTCCCTGCACCCCTCCCCTGGCCCGGGTTGTGTTGGGTGCTCTCTTTAGCAGAGCTTGGGCAGCCCCCGTGGCTCTTGGCCTGGTTTGACTTATCTCGTCCTTTCTCGTCACCGAGTCTCATCTCCCGTTTCATTTGGTCTGCCTCTTTCTGCCCTTGGTGATTTGCCTTTTTCATTTCAATCTAATTAGAACTCCCTGCCAGGAGAAGGCAGTGCAGGGTGTTCTCGCTGCAGCGCTTTGGGAATTAGTCACTCGGTGCCCATTGTCGTTAATGGGAATTTGGCGCCAAGGCCATTTATCCTGGTGTCCTCGATCAATACAGTTAAAAATCTGTGGATTCGAAAACGTCAATACCTGGCCTGAAATATGGAGAGCCAGCAACATTTTATCTCATTAATTTATAGTTCTGACGGGCTGTTGGCTTATAGAACAACCATGAATCAACACTTAAATAAAATCCGCTCACAGATCAATTATTTTTGGTGCTCCCGTTTCCGTCTGTAATCTTCCTAACAAAACGTCTCTGGTGCATTAGGCTGAGGCAGCCTCAGGGAACACTGGCCGACTCCATCAGGGCCCGAGTGTCGTCTGCTTTATGAGTCAGCTCTTCCTGCATGCCAAACCAGCCAGTCTCCTTAAAATCCCTCGAAGAGCGTGCTCAGTTCTAAGTGGTACTGGTTTCTTGCCGATTCCAGCCCCCCAGGCTGGCCCTAGCCTGGCTATTGAGGCCTTGGAGGCATGCAGGGCCTCGTACTTTGCATTTGTTGGCTGCTAAGGAGATGGTCCTCTCCCTGGAGCCCCAGGGCTCTGGCCTGGCAGGGCACCCTGTCCTCCTTCCTGTTGCCCTGGTCAGCTCTCCTGATGTGCCCTGGCTAGTCTGGGACATCCGTGCTCTGCCACCTGGTCCCAGCTCCTGGATGCTGGAGGCAGCGCAGTGTGATAGAAGGAGCATGGGTGGGGTATAGTGCGGCTTTTCCACTTACCTGAGCTGGGCGTCCTCGGGTTTCTTCACCTCGATTTCCACCTCTGTGAAAGGGGAGAACAGCACGTGGCTGGTGGGGTTGTTGAGAGGAAAAGCTAAAAGCTGAGATGCAGAGGCCCTTTGCAGAGTACCTGGTGTATGGTAGGTGCTCAGCAAAGGGTGCCCTTCCCTTCCTCTGTCACCACCCCAGGAGGCCCTTCAGAAGGTAGGAAATAATGACCTTGTTCCCAGTGAGTGTGCAGAGCACCCCAGGTGCTGGGCCCTTTCCCAAATGGAGCAGCTGTGGTGGCTCAGTTCCAAAAGCCTCTGGTGACCCCCAAGCCAGCATACTACATGGCGCTTGGTCCCATGTGTGGGTCTCAGGGCAGACTGGGAGCAAGACCGGTCTTCCAGGGTTCTCCCAGCTTCTCCATGTTTCACTTGTTCATGACGAAATGGCCTGCTGATGGGCTAGCAGCTTCTTCCTCGTGATGGGACTGCACGTGCCCTTTATTTGGGGTGGGCGTGCTCTTCACTTGGACTCCACTGCCCACAGGCTTGCTGTCTCCAGCGCCTGGCTGCCTCTTCCTGTTCTAGGTGTCCCTGGGTCTTTTGACGGGGGTCTTGGTGCTTGGAAATGAGTGGCCAACTGGGCCTAGACCCATACCTGACCATTTCTCTTGTTTTCCAAGAAGTGTCTTCTGGTGACTCTCTCATTTTTGCATCATGATTCGGGCCCCCATCACAGAAACACTACAAGGAAAAGGAAGGACACATTGGCTGAGCACACCCCGTGGGCCAGGCCCTGGGCCAGGTAGCCCTGGTTTCCAGTACACTGCCTGGCTTGTATCAAGCTGAAATGAATAAATATGTCATTGCTCATGACATA